CATGAAATAAGGACAAATACATGAAAAAAGAAAGTTAAAAAGGAAAGAAAGAAGGAAAGTAAAAATGAAAAAAGAAAGAAACATACAAAACAAAAGAAGGACAGAAATTAAAGAAACACGGAAAGAGAGATAGACAGTCATAAAGAAGGTAGGAACGAAACAGAAAGATACAGTAAACCAGTTGAATACTAGCAGAAAACATTAACTGAAACGTGTCTCAACTTACTCAACACTCAACAGATCTCAAGAACAGGTTTTTGGTTAAGTTTAAAAGTGACTGGAACCAGCCAGTCCCGTGCAGTGGATTTAGAACCGCCAAAGTGAGTGACAAGTCCGTGGACGTGCACTGTAACCTGAATGTCACCGTCATGCAGGCCATCGTCTCCTGGGAGGGACCAGCACACCTCTGCTCCTTGTACATCAGTGGCGGTAAGATACCTATGTACAACAGCAGCTATAAGTTACCAGTGTATTTCAGTAGGTATAAGTTACCTGTGTATTCAAGTAGGTATAAGTTACATGTGTATTCCAGTAGCTATAAGTTACCTATGTATTAAAGTAGGTATAAGTTACCTGCGTACTCCAGTAGCTATAAGTTACCTGTGTACTCCAGTAGCTATAAGTTACATGTTTACTCCAGTAGCTATAAGTTACCTGTGTACTCCAGTAACTACAAGTTACATGTGTACTCCAGTAGCTATAAGTTACCTGTGTACTCCAGTAGCTATAAGTTACCTGTGTACTCCAGTAGCTACAAGTTACCTGTGTACTCCAGTAGCTATAAGTTGCCTATGTACTCCAGTAGCTATAAGTTACCTATGTACTCCAGTAGCTATAAGTTTCCCATGTACTCCAGTAGCTATAAGTTACCTATGTACTCCAGTAGCTATAAGTTACTTGTGTACTCCAGTAGCTACAAGTTACCTGTGACCTCCAGTAGCTATAAGTTACCTATGTACTCCAGTAGCTATAAGTTTCCCATGTACTCCAGTAGCTATAAGTTTCCCATGTACTCCAGTAGCTATAAGTTACCTATATACTCCAGTAGCTGTAAGTTACCTATATACTCAAGTAGCTATAAGTTACCTGTGTACTCCAGTAGCTATAAGTTACCTGTGTACTCCAGTAGCTATAAGGTACCTGTGTACTCCAGTAGCTATAAGTTACCATTGCACTTCAGTAGCTATAAGTTACCTATGTACTCCAGTAGCTATAAGTTACCTGTGTACTCCAGTAGCTATAAGTTACCTATATACTCCAGTAGCTATAAGTTACCTATGTACTCCAGTAGCTACAAGTTACCTTTGTACTCCAGTAGCTACAAGTTACCTGTGTACTCTAGTAGCTACAAGTTACCTGTGTACTCCAGTAGCTACAAGTTACCTGTGTACTCCAGTAGCTACAAGTTACCTGTGTACTCCAGTAGCTACAAGTTACCTATGTACTCCAGTAGCTATAATTTACCTATGTACTCCAGTAGCTACAAGTTACCTGTGTACTTCAGTAGCTATAAGTTACCTGTGTACTCCAGTAGCTATAAGTTACCTGTGTACTCCAGTAGCTATAAGTTACCTATGTACTCCAGTAGCTACAAGTTGCCTGTGTACTCCAGTATCTATAGTTACCTGTGTACTCCAGTATCTATAGTTACCTGTGTACTCCAGTAGCTATAAGGTACCTGTGTACTCCAGTAGCTATAGGTTACCATTGCACTTCAGTAGCTATAAGTTACCTATGTACTCCAGTAGCTATAAGTTACCTGTGTACTCCAGTAGCTATAAGTTACTTATGTACTCCAGTAGCTATAAGCTACCTATGTACTCCAGTAGCTACAAGTTACCTTTGTACTCCAGTAGCTACAAGTTACCTGTGTTCTCTAGTAGCTACAAGTTACCTGTGTACTCCAGTAGCTACAAGTTACCTGTGTACTCCAGTAGCTACAAGTTACCTGTGTACTCCAGTAGCTACAAGTTACCTATGTACTCCAGTAGCTATAATTTACCTATGTACTCCAGAAGCTACAAGTTACCTGTGTACTCCAGTAGCTACAAGTTACCTATGTACTCCAGTAGCTATAATTTACCTATGTACTCCAGAAGCTACAAGTTACCTGTGTTCTTCAGTAGCTATAAGTTACCTGTGTACTCCAGTAGCTATAAGTTACCTGTGTACTCCAGTTGCTATAAGTTACCTATGTACTCCAGTAGCTACAAGTTGCCTGTGTACTCCAGTAGCTACAAGTTACCTGTGTACTCCAGTAGCTATAAGTTACCTATACTCCAAGCTTAAGTTTCCTATGTACTCCAGTAGCTATAAGTTACCTATGTACTCCAGTAGCTACTCCAGTAGCTATAAGTTACCTGTGTACTCCAGTAGCTATAAGTTACCTATGTACTCCAGTAGCTATAAGTTACCTGTGTACTCCAGTAGCTATAAGTTTCCCATGTACTCCAGTAGCTATAAGTTACCTATATACTCCAGTAGCTGTAAGTTACCTATATACTCAAGTAGCTATACGTTACCTGTGTACTCTAGTAGCTATAAGTTACCTGTGTACTCCAGTAGCTATAAGTTACCTTTGTACTCCAGTAGCTATAAGTTTCCAATGCACTCCAGTAGCTATAAGTTACCTATGTACTCCAGTAGCTATAAGTTACCTGTGTACTCCAGTAGCTATAAGTTACCTATGTACTCCAGTAGCTATAAGTTACCAATGTACTCCAGTAGCTATAAGTTACCTATGTACTGTACTCCAGTTAGTACTCTAGTAGCTACAAGTTACCTGTGTACTCAGTAGTACAAGTTACCTGTGTTCTCCAGTAGCTACAAGTTACCTGTGTACTCCAGTAGCTACAAGTTACCTATGTACTCCAGTAGCTATAATTTACCTATGTACTCCAGTAGCTACAAGTTACCTGTGTACTTCAGTAGCTATAAGTTACCTGTGTACTACAGTAGCTATAAGTTACCTTTGTACTCCAGTAGCTACAAGTTACCTGTGTTCTCTAGTAGCTACAAGTTACCTGTGTACTCCAGTAGCTACAAGTTACCTGTGTACTCCAGTAGCTACAAGTTACCTGTGTTACTCCAGTAGCTATAAGTTACCTATGTACTCCAGTAGCTACAAGTTACCTGTGTACTCCAGTAGCTATAAGTTACCTATGTACTCCAGTAGCTATAATTTACCTATGTACTCCAGTAGCTACAAGTTACCTGTGTACTCCAGTAGCTATAAGTTACCTGTGTACTCCAGTAGCTATAAGTTACCTATGTACTCCAGTAGCTATAAGTTACCTATGTACTCCAGTAGCTATAAGTTACCTGTGTACTCCAGTAGCTATAAGTTACCTATGTACTCCAGTAGCTATAAGTTACCTATGTACTCCAGTAGCTACAAGTTACCTGTGTACTCCAGTAGCTACAAGTTACCTGTGTACTCCAGTAGCTATAAGTTACCTATGTACTCCAGTAGCTATAAGTTACCTGTACTCCAGTAGCTCCCATGTCCAGTAGCTATAAGTTACCTATGTACTCCAGTAGTACTATAAGTTACCTATGTACTCCAGTAGCTACAAGTTACCTGTGTACTCCAGTAGCTATAAGTTACCTATGTACTCCAGTAGCTATAAGTTACCAATGTACTCCAGTAGCTATAAGTTACCTATGTACTCCAGTAGCTATAAGTTACCTATGTACTCCAGTAGCTATAAGTTACCTATGTACTCCAGTAGCTATAAGTTACCAATGTACTCCAGTAGCTATAAGTTACCAATGTACTCCAGTAGCTATAAGTTACCAATGTACTCCAGTAGCTATAAGTTACCAATGCACTCCAGTAGCTATAAGTTACCAATGTACTCCAGTAGCTATAAGTTACCTGTGTACTCCAGTAGCTATAAGTTACCTATGTACTCCAGTAGCTATAAGTTACCTATGTACTCCAGTAGCTATAAGTTACCTGTGTACTCCAGTAGCTATAAGTTACCTGTGTACTGTAGCTCCAGTTACCTATGCTAGTAAGTTACCTATGTACTCCAGTAGCTACAAGTTACCTGTGTACTCCAGTAGCTATAAGTTACCTATGTACTCCAGTAGCTATAAGTTACCTGTGTACTCCAGTAGCTACAAGTTACCTGTATACTCCAGTAGCTATAAGTTACCTGTGTACTCCAGTAGCTATAAGTTACCTGTGTACTCCAGTAGCTATAAGTTACCTGTGTACTCCAGTAGCTATAAGTTACCTGTGTACTCCAGTAGCTATAAGTTACCTGTGTACTCCAGTAGCTATAAGTTACCTGTGTACTCCAGTAGCTATAAGTTACCTATGTACTCCAGTAGCTATAAGTTACCTGTGTACTCCAGTAGCTATAAGTTACCTGTGTACTCCAGTAGCTATAAGTTACCTGTGTACTCCAGTAGCTATAAGTTACCTGTGTACTCCAGTAGCTATAAGTTACCTAGTGTACTCCAGTAGCTACAAGTTACCTGTGTACTCCAGTAGCTATAAGCTTAGTTACCTGTGTACTCCAGTAGCTATAAGTTACCTGTGTACTCCAGTAGCTATAAGTTACCTGTGTACTCCAGTAGCTATAAGTTACCTGTGTACTCCAGTACTATAAGTTACCTACCTGTGTACTCCAGTAGCTATAAGTTACCTGTGTACTCCAGTAGCTATAAGTTTAGTTGCCTGTGTACTCCAGTATCTAAGTTACCTGTGTACTCCAGTAGCTATAAGTTACCAAGTACTCCAGTAGCTATAAGTTACCTGTATACTCCAGTAGTAGCTATAAGTTACCTATGTACTCAAATAGCTATAAGTGGACTCGAGTTAGCTATAAGTTACCTGTGTACTCCAGTAGCTGCAAGTTACCTATATACACCGGTAGGCATACGTTAACTTTACCCTCTAGTAGTAAGTATCAGCTGCCTGTGTACAGTAGTTGATGTAAGGTTCTATGGTTGAAGGATCGCTAGCAACAGGTTTTATGCTAAAGAGTGAGGACGATTGGATTGTATTGAGGGGGGTACATCTACATTGTTTCTAAGAGTGAGGACGATCGGACTGTATTGTGGGGGTGCATCTACATTGTTTCTAAGAGTGAGAGAGTTTGGAAGTAATGATGGACACAGCCAGTCACAAGAGACATACCAGACGTACGAGATTTGCCAGCCAGCACAGGACTGGAACTATTAGCAGTTGGGTGCTGATGAAAACGGACGTGCCCGCAGTGCCATGAGAAGAACCCATCTGATAGATCATAAACTCCACAACAAGGCTGACGAAATGGGCAGTGAGCACAGGATACGGACGACAGTCCGCGAGCAGTGGAGATGTAAGCACTGGTGTTTTCATTGATCATCTACACTGAGTGGAGATCCTGTATCAAGATCAGCCAAGACGAGAGAACCAAATTGTTGTATAGATTGCCATTCGCTTTGCTTTACTCTAGGCAAGAAGATGACAAGGATTACGTCTTCAGAATTAGTTACCACAAACTGAATAGACGTTTACTAAAACTAGCCGAGGCCGTCTCAATAAAACTGAACTCTCCTGTTTTATGTAAATAAAAAGATCGCGTTTCATATGTGATGTTAATGGTACTATCACGAGGCTCTTTGTGAATTTTCGTTGGTATATGTACATCCTAATTTGACAATGACGATATGATTTTGTTTGTCAGAGAAAAGAAATCATGTTTTATGCATCATTATATGGCATTTTAACTCTGTAGTAAATCACCTGACGAGATACAGGGAATTATGCCAGACAATAAATCGTAGATTGAATTGTTTGTGTCCTTAATATTTGGATTATATCTATGGATGCTTGCCAACACAGTGCAGTTCCTCATTTCCCCTGTAATCTATTGATTAGCTTATTTTATTATTGGATGAAGAAAAACAATGACTTCCCTAGGACGGAATGTAGCTCTGAAACAGAACGCTAGCCAGTCGAGCACCGACTTGAGACACTACCAGACACCGACTGCAGCAGACGCCGTTGATGGTGACACTAGCAACGACTATCTCTATGGCAACTGTCCACAAACAAAACCCAGTGACCCGTCCCCGACATGGAACTTGATGTTTTCTAGAAATGTTTCTGTCAACAGATTTTTGGTCTACCACAGAATTGAAGGTAAGATCTGTTGTCTGCCTTTGTCGTTCTCTGTCTCTATCTTTATATTTCAGTCTGTCTCTTGTTTCTCTCCCCTTCTCTCTCTCTCTCTCTCTCTCTCTCTCTCTCTCTCTCTCTCTCTCTCTCCCCCTTTCTCTCAATCTCTAGCACAAACCTCCACAAGAACGTCACCGATAAAAGCAGCCCTTAGTCTCTGGACATAGCTGCCAATCTTTGATGGTCCCTCAGAACTAGCACACAGTCTTGTCTGTAGCTGCCCATCTTTGATGGTCACTCAGAACTAGCACACATTCTTGTCTGTAGCTGCCCATCTTTGATGGTCACTCAGAACTAGCACACAGTCTTGTCTGTAGCTACCAATCTTTGATGGTCCCTGAGAACTAGCACACAGTCTTGTCTGTAGCTTGCCAATCTTCGAGTCTTGTCTGGTCCTCAGAAATAGCAACAACTCCTCAGAACTAGCAAATCTTTGATGGTCCCTCAGAACTAGCCACATCTTGTCTGTATGGTCTTGATGGTCCCTGAGAACTAGCACACAGTCTTGTCTGTAGCTGCCAATCTTTGATGGTCTTGTCTGTAGAACTAGCTCAGAACTAGCACACAGTCTTGTCTGTAGCTGCCAATCTTTGATGGTCACTCAGAACTAGCACACAGTCTTGTCTGTAACTGCCCATCTTTGATGGTCACTCAGAACTAGCACACAGTCTTGTCTGTAGCTGCCCATGATGGTTTGATGGTCTTGTCTCAGAACTAGCACACTGTAGTTGTCTTGTCTGTAGCTGTCCCAATCTTTGATGGTCACTCAGAAATAGCACACATTCTTGTCTGTACTTGCCGATCTTGATGGTCCCTCAGAAATAGCACACAGTCTTGTCTGTAGCTGCCAATCTTTGATGGTCCCTCAGAACTAGCACACAGTCTTGTCTGTAGCTGCCAATCTTTGATGGTCCCTCAGAACTAGCACACAGTCTTGTCTGTAGCTGCCAATCTTTGATGGTCCCTCAGAACTAGCACACAGTCTTGTCTGTAGCTGCCCATCTTTGATGGTCACTCAGAACTAGCACACAGTCTTGTCTGTAGCTGCCAATCTTTGATGGTCCTGAAAACTAGCACACAGTCTTGTCTGTAGGTGCCAATCTTTGATGGTCCTGAGAACTAGCACACAGTCTTGTCTGTAGCTGCCGATCTTTGATGGTCCTGAGAACTAGCACACAGTCTTGTCTGTAGCTATCGATCTTTGATGGTCCCTCAGAACTAGCACACATTCTTGTCTGTAGCTATCGATCTTTGATGGTCATGAGAACTAGCGCACAGTCTTGTCTGTAGCTGCCAATCTTCGATAGTCCTGAGAACTAGCACACAGTCTTGTATGTAGCTATCGATCTTTGTTGGTCCCTCAAAACTAGCACACAGTCTTGTCTGTAGCTGCCAATCTTCGATAGTCCTGAGAACTAGCACAGTCTTGTCTGTAGCAGCCAATCTTCGATGGTCCTGAGAACTAGCACACAGTCTTGTCTGTAGCTGCCAATCTTCGATGGTCCTGAGAACTAGCACACAGTCTTGTCTGTAGCTGCCAATCTTCAATGGTCCTGAGAACTAGCACGCAGTCTTGTCTGTAGCTGCCTATCTTTGATGGTTCTGAGAACTAGCACACAGTCTTATCTGTAGCTGCCAATCTTTGATGGTCCCTAAGAACTAGCACACAGTCTTGTCTGTAGCTGCCAATCTTTGATGGTCCCTAAGAACTAGCACGCAGTCTTGTCTGTAGTTGCCAATCTCTGATGGTCACTCAGAAATAGCACACAGTCTTGTCTGTAGTTGCCAATCTCTGATGGTCACTCAGAAATAGCACACAGTCTTGTCTGTAGCTGCCAATCTTTGATGGTCACTCAGAAATAGCACACATTCTTGTATGTACTTGCCGATCTTTGATGGTCCCTCAGAAATAGCACACAGTCTTGTCTGTAGCTGCCAATCTTTGATGGTCCCTCAGAACTAGCACACAGTCTTGTCTGTAGCTGCCAATCTTTGATGGTCCCTCAGAACTAGCACACAGTCTTGTCTGTAGCTGCCAATCTTTGATGGTCCCTCAGAACTAGCACACAGTCTTGTCTGTAGAACAATCTTTGATGGTCCCTCAGAACTAGCGCACGGTCTTGTCTGTAGCTGCCAATCTTTGATGGTCCCTCAGAACTAGCACACAGTCTTGTCTGTAGCTGCCAATCTTTGATGGTCCCTCAGAACTAGCACACAGTCTTGTCTGTAGCTGCCAATCTTTGATGGTCCCTCAGAAATAGCACACAGTCTTGTCTGTAGCTGCCAATCTTTGATGGTCCTGAGAACTAGCACACAGTCTTGTCTGTAGCTGCCAATCTTTGATGGTCCCTCAGAACTAGCACACAGTCTTGTCTGTAGCTGCCAATCTTTGATGGTCCCTCAGAACTAGCACACAGTCTTGTCTGTAGCTGCCAATCTTTGATGGTCCTGAGAACTAGCACGCAGTCTTGTCTGTAGCTGCCAATCTTTGATGGTCCTGAGAACTAGCACGCAGTCTTGTCTGTAGCTGACTCTCTGAATGTTGTCATAGACAAAATATTAATGACTAGTCAATGTGAGGTACTTAACAACTCTGATACTGATATTAATAATATGTAATATTGGTCATCCCTGCTAATGTTTAGCTGTGGTAAAGGTCATGTTATAGATTCTAATCAGTGGGTTTTTTTCTTTCAAATCTTGCCAAAGTAAAGTTTTCAGTAGACAATTTGATACATGTAGTGGGAAACGGTTAGACCTGCCTTTGTCACAGCCTTCATAGTAGCCATGTGACTTAATTGTGTACCTGTGTGTGTGTGTGTGTGTGCGTACGAGGGGGGAGGAGCTTGGAAGGGGGGGGAGGAGGGGGGGGGGGAGATTCAAGACAGAGATTAATGCAACGAAAATTTAGTATCAGTAAATGATTACTCTCTGTCGTCATATATGAAAGGCTGATTGTAATGTCTCATGTATCCCACACAATCCCAACAACACACACGTCCTACACAATTCGAACAAGGCACATGTCCCACACAATCCCAACAAGACACATGTCCCACACAATCCCAACAAGACACATGTCCCACACAATCCCAACAAGACACATGTCCCACACAATACTAACAACACACATGTCCTACACAATTCGAACAAGGCACATGTCCCACACAATTCTAACAACACACATGTCCCACACAATCCCAACAAGACACATGTCCCACACAATACCAACAACACACATGTCCTACACAATTCGAACAAGGCACATGTCCCACACAATCCCAACAAGACACATGTCCCACACAATCCCAACAAGACACATGTCCCACACAATCCCAACAAGACACATGTCCCACACAATACTAACAACACACATGTCCTACACAATTCGAACAAGGCACATGTCCCACACAATTCTAACAAGACACATGTCCCACACAATCCCAACAAGACACATGTCCCACACATTCCCAACAAGACACATGTCCCACACAATCCCAACAAGACACATGTCCCACACAATCCCAACAAGACACATGTCCCACACAATACCAACAAAACAAGCTGACATATTTCCCACATGCTCGCACAGCTCACACGTTTCTGCGGCGGACTTACTGGTTCACACTTCAGTCGCTGGACGCAGAAGGCAAGCCTGTGTTCACAGACAAGGGAGCCGGGTCCACACGGCAAGGGGTATACATGGTGACAACTGGGGCAGTTAGCTCTCCGGTGACCCAGGTCATGATACGCTCTGCAGGCAACCGATTGAGGTTCACTGCCGCTCCGGCAGTACTGTCCCTTTGTGAAGTGGAAGTTTATGGCGGTAAATGTGCTTCTCTTTTGGATGATACTATCTGTCTATTTGTTTGCTGTTTTCTTGTTCTATCTATCTATCTATCTATCTATCTATCTATCTATCTATCTATCTATCTATCTATCTATCTATCTATCTATCTATCTATCTATCTATCTATCTATCTATCTATCTATCTATCTATCTATCTATCTATCTATCTATCTATCTATCTATCTATCTATCTATCTATCTATCTATCTATCTATCTATCTATCTATCTATCTATCTATCTATCTATCTATCTATCTATCTATCTATCTATCTATCTATCTATCTATCTATCTATCTATCTATCTATCTATCTATCTATCTATCTATCTATCTATCTATCCCCTATCTATCTATCTATCTATCTATCTATCTATCTATCTATCTATCTAAATAGTCAACTACACAACCAACTACACAACCAACCACACAACCAACCACACAACCAACCACACAACCAACCACACAATCAACCACACAACCAACCATACAACCAACCACACAATCAACCACACAACCAACCACACAACCAACCACACAACCAACCACACAACCAACCACACAACCAACCATACAACCAACCACACAACCAACCACACAACCAACCAACTAACCATAAATGACAAATGTCTCGCAGACACAGTATGTGACCACGGCTGGTACGGACGAGACTGTGAGCATCGATGTAACTGTGCAGACAGCAACGAGGTTTGTTTTGTGGCCTCGGGTGGCTGCCCTTCTGGCTGCGCTGTTGGGTTTTACGACGAGGCATGTTCTCTGGGTAAGTTGCTGACGTTGTGGTCAACTTGTTTCATAGTCCTTGTTTGAATTACAGAGTTGAGGTATTTGCTCCAACTCAAGATTTGTAATCGTAGTCATGGCTTGCTAAGTTACATGTGTGTATGTTTCCATGATTGACACAACCTCACATCGGGCATTCCCATGGATGCTGTGTCCTACCACGCAGAGGCCATCCCAAGGTGCATCTACTTTTTCCTTAAGAAGGTGGTTATGAAACCTCATATGTGACCTGGAAAACGTTATCGACGTGCTTCGTCAAGGTTTACTTCCAGCGCACACAGTCGGGTTAGCAAAAGAGTCTTGTCATTCTCCAGCGACCTTGTTTCTACAGCGTTGTTAAGTTTAGCTCTGTCTATTCTTCTCCTTGCTTATTTCTGTTTATAGTTTCCGGTGTATAATATAAATGCAGAAAAACGTCCTAGGAAAATATATATATATATATATATATATATATATATATATATATATATATATATATATATATATATATATATATATATATATATATATAGAGAGAGAGAGAGAGAGAGAGGGGGGGGGGGAGAGAAGGAAGGAAGGAACGAAGAAACTTTATTTTGAAAGGGTTACACATTGGGTTTTAACTTTGGCGCTTCCAAGCACTCATTTTCTAGTCCACATGTACATGTTATCAATAATGCGTATTGTGTCTACATAAAAATGTACATAATGAAAAAAAATTCATAAACACATCATATTTACACAATCATACAGACTCCAAATATACATTTAAACACACATACATGTACATACATACACAGACACACACTCATACATACACCCTCATAAAAAACCGACAATTCACTCACATACATGTACACACACTGTTTGTTTTAGTATCCAGAAGCCACGAGTTATTAACCCTTAGGCTTGGTATTATGGATATCGCAACCTTTCGGCCTTGATTCCATTTTTAATACCGTAAATCTGGGAGAAATGTGGCTTTTCTGCCCACCCCCCGGGCGTGAACCCGGACCACAAGGAGTTCCTCACCTGCTCACCGCTCAATCCGGTTTAGCCAACTACGCTAGAGAGACGGGCTCCACACACACTAACGCGTACTCATACATAGACTTTAAGTTATATATATATATATATATATATATATATATACATATATATATATATATGTATACACACACACACTTGTATAAACACCTTTATACACCTATTATCATCAACATTTTCCACTTCTGTCATAAAGCGTTGTGGGGAGGAACTGTTTGCGATCCATTGCTGGATGGGCAGCAGTAGCTATTGTAATTCCGTGTCGGTGTAGAAGCTCTTTAATGTCATCAATCCATGTTCTCCTGGGTCAGCCTCTTGCTTTCACTTCAGATCTTAGCATGTGTAGCTACTGCATTGGTTGTTGTTCAGGCTGCATTCTTACTAAATGATCAAACCATTTGACTTTCTGTTTCTCAATGAATTTGCTGCATGATGTCGTTCCTACAGTCTGTCAGATAATATCTTTTCTCACTTTAACTCGGCTGGTCATGTTGACGGCTTTTCTCAGTCATCTCATTTCCGAGGTGTTAATGTTACATAAGTTAGCCTTTGATAATGTCCAAGTCTGGCACTGGTAGCACAGTTCTTGTATGAATTTGGTGTTTATAATCTGCTTTCTGGTAACTGATTGTTAAAATGACCACTGAGTATTCAGGAGACTTGTGTAAGGTCTTGTTCGACGGATATCGCAATGCGTGGACACTAACAACGCTTGCAACACTGTGGCTGAAACATCCTACATAAATACATCTATGTCATCAACACTGTGACTGGAAACATCCTACATAAATACATCTATGTCATCAACACTGTGGCTGAAACATCCTACATAAATACATCTATGTCATCAACACTGTAGCTGAAACATCCTACATAAATACATCTATGTCATCAACACTGTGGCTGGAAACACCCCACATACATCCATGTCATCAACACTGTGACTGGAAACACCCCACATACATCCATGTCATCAACACTATGACTGGAAACACCCCACATACATCCATGTCATCAACACTGTGACCGGAAACACCCTACATACAATACATCTATGTCATCTACATGCTCAACATGATCCAGTTGAAACTGTATATTCCCCGGGTGGGTTACGGGGCCCATTTTGAGGGAGAAAAGAATGGACCAAACAAATCTGGTAGTCTGCTAGTCTGGTAGTCTTAGTTTCAGCTTCACAGCAAACGGGTTACCCCATCTTTGCTCCGCTACTGTGCCAACGAAAAACACAGAATGTTTACAATAGTACCTTGTGGAAAGATTGACAGACTGCTGTCTCAGAACATCTAGCAAACACTCGCATTAAAGCAGACTGTAGCCATCTGAAGCTCTAACACACACAGTCTGACATTAGAACTGCAGTTCATCATTGATGGTAGCAGAAGTCACCAACAGATCAGCAGGTGTCCACGCGATCAATTTTAATTACATACGGACACCACCAACATTGCACGACAGGCATCGCGTCATTTTCTGAATCTACAATTCACACCACCACGTTGGTCAGTCGAGAAAACATTCCACATGAAATCAGCAGCTCACGGTGTCACGCCATGCATTCAACACAGAAGCTGGGCGACGAAACTATATCCAGTCTACAAATGGAGCAAAAATGCATCGGCCACTGTCCGGCAGAAGCATAAAATTTGCCTCGGCTCCGAACAGTGCTCCTGCCTAGCGTCTATTTTGACCGGAAGTCTCAAATAAATCCTTACAAGCGTGTCATATAAGGCAACCGAATAGGAGTATTTCCTTGGAAGTCAGTACATCTGCTTGAGGTGCAAAGGACCAATAGTCTACATTCAAATAAGCCAAATCTGTAAAACGGATGTACACGCGGAACTCATGTCCTGAAACAAGACCCACATTCCAGAAGTGGACGAACAACCAGAAATGGATTTTGTAGCCGCTGAATGCTAAGACGGAGAAGAGAGAAATTGTATATCCCCTGAGTCTGCTCTTATCTGATAGTCACCTTGATATTTAAAAAGGAGACAAAATTAAAATGATTGGTCATAAAATCACAAACCATAGATCATTTTTCGCTAGTTAATTGTTGTATACTTCTCATTTCTTGTTTTCTGTTACTTGGCCTTTCACTGCTGCCTCCAATATTTAATCAGAGCCAAACCAACAACAACAACAAATAACAATTATTTTAACACTGAAAACAGAATGTCTGCCAGGTACCTTTGGTGAGAACTGCAGTTGGCCATGTTCTCAGTTGTGTTTGGCCGACACCCATGACGTCAATGTTTGCCATCATGTCAACGGCACCTGTCTGCTTGGTTGCCAGATTGGATTTAAAGGACCTTGGTGTAATATGAGTAAGTCATATTGTTCATTTTTTTTTAAAAATAATGTAGACCTTCTATAATGAAAAGGGTAGCATATATGCACGCCATACACACATACATGAATTTATTTAGACCGTCTACTTTGGAGGAGAGAAATCCGGAAGGGACAGGGAATAAAGGAAAACATGATTACTGATAACTTTATAGCTGAGACTCTGAGAAGCACACCTGTGATAGCAAGAACTGTCGTGAAATCCCATGCTCTCATTGTGGAAGTGTTTTTGTGAACGCGGCCAGGTCTTGCTGGTGACACTGCACATCGCCATGGGCTATGATTCACGCACCACCACGTAGTTCAACACAGCACTGTCGTCTACAAAGACAGAAAGGTGCCAACGAATATATACTGCAGGTAACAGTTTTGAATGTCGCATGCATCTCTGTGTATAGAGTGTGAACTTAAGTGAGTGTTCAGTCGAGAGATAGAGATAGAGAGAGAAAGAGAGGGAGGGGGAGGGGAGAAAGAGACAGACAGGCAGAGATAGAAAACGTGTGGACCAAAGGCCCACTAGATAATGGCCTTTGAACGACTTTGAAATCCAGCTAGAGTGTTCCACAGCCACTAATCATCAAGCCAACACATTTTCCCCCTCCACAGCTTGCACTCCAGGTACCTACGGCCACGGGTGCAACTACATGTGCTCCCAACTGTGTGCGCCAGACGTCAGCAACAGCAGCAGCCCAGCTTGTCATCATCTTCATGGTGTCTGCCTCAATGGATGCCAGGCGGGCTACAAAGGGCAGATGTGTAATCAAAGTAAGTACAGTATGAAACGTATCGTCTGATTGCATTTTCATTTCATCTTGCATAACAATTTCGCACCAGCTATTCTGGGTTCGAGTAAGTAATGTTTTTTGGGGTCCTTTAAAAGTGATCTTGGCACTTGTATAATTTATATTTTATTTATTAACACATCTCCTCGCCCCCACCCCCTCTCTCTCTCTCTCTCTTTCTCTCTCTCCCCCCTCGCGGGCCTTCTCTGTTGTACTGCCGTATTCTAAACTGTATATTGTGTAAACTATTGCTATTTAACCGAAGGCCCGCAGGTTAAATTCGGCCCACAAAGATCTAGCAAGTGACCGCGGATCAGTAAACTAAGCCGTGAGGAAAATCTGTTTACACTGGTGCCCCCGCCTCTGGCCTGCCCCATGTTCAACATTTGGGGTCTTGAGTAAAACTTGAAGGACTAGCCCGGTATACGCATCTTAATCAACCAATCAGTTATCTATGTTGTTTCCATAGTTTGTCCCCCTGGACAGTTCGGTCAGGATTGTAGCTTGACCTGTGCCCAGTCTTGCTTGCCCGACAACAGAAAGATCCACATATGTCATCTTGTCACTGGCAGATGTCTGCTGGGATGTCTGCCTGGCTATGAGGGCGCCCGCTGCAACCAAAGTAAGAATTCATTAGCAGTCATCTGTAACTTAAACACTTACATTGCATAACAAGGAAAAAAGGCAGGTGTGGGGGGTGGGGGAGGAAATATAATTTAGGCATTTTCCATCCTGTAATGTTAGTATGGCCTAGGCGCTTCGAACGCGCTTCGTAATGCCGGGGTGCTGGGTTCGATACCCGCTGCTAGCAATTTGTCTTGCGCTGACCTTTTAGAAAGCTATGGCAAACTACTGAACCTGAAATGTGCCTGGAAAAACCATAACAGCTATAAATGCTGGGGTTTTTTCTGCAACGTCCTGTAAAGGATACGCAACTAACTTATATAATCTTAGTATCTGCTGTCTCTTCGTTTAGTAGGCTGATCATCAATTAAACTGTTTGTGTTCGTTCACTTTCTGGTGGCTTAGAGCGAACGTATTCTATAACTGAAATTAGAATAGATCTTGAAATAAAGTTCGACATCTTCTCTGAACGATGATAACTGGAAGAAGGAGTATGCCAAGAAGACGAAGAAGAAGGAGGGCGAGGAAGGTTTTGTAGAAGAAATATGATAAATAAAAGTTAACACGGATGTCATCCAGAGTATTGAATTATGCAACCAACAAACCAAACAGAAGTCAAACAGCTAACCAGTCAAGCAATCATTTAGTCGTGAGCAAAGCAGCTAATACACCACTCAGCCAACCAGCTAACCATCAAACCAACCATCAAACCAACCATCTAACCAACCATCCAAACGACCATCTAACCCAGCAGCCACGGTTGCTAGAGCTTGCACTCACCTATGAAGCTCTTTGAAAACTGAGTTTGTGTGTGTGTGGGTGGGTGTGGTTATAATTATCTAGGAATGAAATGTGGAGAAAAACTGGTCACCTGGCTTGGTATGCGTGGAGTGTATTGTTTGTTTGTTTGTTGTTTGTTTTGAGTATCCAGAAGCCATGAGTTGTTAACCCTTAGGCTTGGTATTATGGATATCGCAACCTTTCGGCCTTGATTCCATTGTAAATACCGTAAATCTGGGAGAAAATGTAGCTTTTCTGCCTACCCCCGGGAGTGAACCCGGACCACAAGGAGATCGTCACCCGGTCTCCGCGCAATCCTGTTTAGTTAACTACGCTAGAGAGCCGGGCATGCGGGCAGTGTATAAAGTCAGTCACATGACCCCGATCCCCGGGTCCCACCTGAGCACCCATGATGATTGTTCTTCTTCTTCAGCATTCCGAGCCCTCGAGGTTGATTGCTGCAAATCTCACCCGCCTCCATTCATCTCTCTGGCTGGCCTTCTCTTTCCAGTTGGTGACATCAAATGTTTGTAGATGTGTCTTCTTGGTCTGTCTCGTCATCTATGACCATTTATCTCCCTTGTGTACACTTTGTTTTCTTTGCGCTGCTGTCTTCTGACATTCTCTCAATATGCTACAGTCATTTCAATCTATAAGCCCGAATGGTTGCCTGTGATCAGTGGTGATTTATTAAAAAAAATTTGTTGTTGTTTCTCACTCTCCATGCGGCGTAAGTGCCTTCGGCGTTGCGAGCCAGACTCACAATTTCAACGTACCGCGATCGAAACCCACTGCTGACTGCGTGGATTGTTATCATGGTATAGGTCGTCGCAGGTCGACCAAGCCCAGAATAGGTACCAGGATGGACGTCCATGGGAAGTAAAGTCGGCCGGCGTAATGCTGACCACATTACCGACCTAGTGCCGATTATTCTGTAAAAATATATGTGCTCTTCCCATGTGTCTGATGTGCCTAAAGGCGCCGCCAACCGCCATTGTGGAGACATCTCAAAGTGTGTGTCAGTTAACATAACATCATTTGTACAAGACATCTCAAAGTGTATGTCAGTTAACATAACATCATTTGTACAAGACATCTCAAAGTGTATGTCAGTTAACATAACATCATTTGTACAAGACATCTCAAAGTGTATGTCAGTTAACATAACATCATGTGTACAAGGCATCTCAAAGTGTATGTCAGTTAACATAACATCATTTGTACAAGACATCTCAAAGTGTATGTCAGTTAACATAACATCATTTGTACAAGACATCTCAATGTGTATGTCAGTTAACATAACATCATTTGTACAAGACATCTCAATGTGTATGTCAGTTAACATAACATCATGTGTACAAGACATCTCAAAGTGTATGTCAGTTAACATAACATCATTTGTACAAGACATCTCAAAGTGTATGTCAGTTAACATAAAATCATTTGTACAAGACATCTCAAAGTGTATGTCAGTTAACATAACATCATTTGTACAAGACATCTCAAAGTGTATGTTAGTTAACATAACATCGTTTGTACAAGACATCTCAAAGTGTATGTCAGTTAACATAACATCATTTGTACAAGACATCTCAAAGTGTATGTCAGTTAACATAACATCATTTGTACAAGACATCTCAAAGTGTATGTCAGTTAACATAACATCATTTGTACAAGACATCTCAAAGTGTATGTCAGTTAACATAACATCGTTTGTACAAGACACCTCAAAGTGTATGTCAGTTAACATAACATCATTTGTACAAGACATCTCAAAGTGTATGTCAGTTAACATAACATCATTTGTACAAGAAATCTCAAAGTGTATGTCAGTTAACATAACATCATTTGTACAAGACATCTCAAAGTGCATGTCAGTTAACATAACATCATTTGTACAAGACATCTCAAAGTGTATGTCAGTTAACATAACATCATTTGTACAAGACATCTCAAAGTGTATGTCAGTTAACATAACATCATTTGTACAAGACATCTCAAAGTGTATGTCAGTAAACATAACATCATTTGTACAAGAAATCTCAAAGTGTATGTCAGTTAACATAACATCATTTGTACAAGACATCTCAAAGTGCATGTCAGTTAACATAACATCATTTGTACAAGACATCTCAAAGTGTATGTCAGTTAACATAACATCATTTGTACAAGACATCTCAAAGTGTATGTCAGTTAACATAACATCATTTGTACAAGACATCTCAAAGTGTATGTCAGTAAACATAACATCATTTGTACAAGACATCTCAAAGTGTATGTCAGTAAACATAACATCGTTTGTACAAGACATCTCAAAGTGTATGTCAGTTAACATAACATCATTTGTACAAGACATCTCAAAGTGTATGTCAGTTAACATAACATCATTTGTACAAGACATCTAAAAGTGTATGTCAGTTAACACAACATCATTTGTACAAGACATCTCAATGTGTATGTCAGTTAACATAACATCATGTGTACAAGACATCTCAATGTGTATGTCAGTTAACATAACATCATGTGTACAAGACATCTCAAAGTGTATGTCAGTTAACATACATCATGTGTACAAGACATCTCAAAGTGTATGTCAGTTAACATAACATCATTGTACAAGACATCTCAAAGTGTATGTCAGTTAACATAACATCATTTGTACAAGACATCTCAATGTGTATGTCAGTTAACATAACATCGTTTGTACAAGACATCTCAATGTGTATGTCAGTTAACCATAACATCATTTGTACAAGACATCTCAAAGTGTATGTCAGTTAACATAACATCATTTGTACAAGACATCTCAAAGTGTATGTCAGTTAAACATAACATCATTTGTACAAGACATCTCAAAGTGTATGTCAGTTAACATAACACATGTGTACAAGACATCTCAAATGTGTATGTCAGTTAACATAACATCGTTTGTACAAGACATCTCAAAGTGTATGTGTACAGAATCTTAACATAAAGGGACATCTCAAAGTGTATGTCAGTTAACATAACATCATTTGTACAAGACATCTCAATGTGTATGTCAGTTAACATAACATCATTTGTACAAGACATCTCAATGTGTATGTCAGTTAACATAACATCATTTGTACAAGACATCTCAAAGTGTATGTCAGTTAACATAACATCACGTGTACAAGACATCTCAATGTGTATGTCAGTTAACATAACATCATGTGTACAAGACATCTCAAAGTGTATGTCAGTTAACATAACATCATCATGTGTACAAGACATCTCAAAGTGTATGTCAGTTAACATAACATCATGTGTACAAGACATCTCAAAGTGTATGTCAGTTAACATAACATCATTTGTACAAGACATCTCAAAGTGTATGTCAGTTAACATAACATCATTTGTACAAGACATCTCAAAGTGTATGTCAGTTAACATAACATCATGTGTACAACACATCTCAAAGTGTATGTCAGTTAACATTACATCATGTGTACAAGACATCTCAAAGTGTATGTCAGTTAACATAACATCATTTGTACAAGACATCTCAAAGTGTATGTCAGTTAACATAACATCATTTGTACAAGACATCTCAAAGTGTATGTCAGTTAACATAACATCATTTGTACAAGAGATCTCAATGTGTATGTCAGTTAACATAACATCATTTGTACAAGACATCTCAATGTGTATGTCAGTTAACATAACATCATTTGTACAAGACATCTCAATGTGTATGTCAGTTAACATAACATCATTTGTACAAGACATCTCAATGTGTATGTCAGTTAACATAACATCATTTGTACAAGACATCTCAAAGTGTATGTCAGTTAACATAACATCATTTGTACAAGACATCTCAATGTGTATGTCAGTTAACATAACATCGTTTGTACAAGACATCTCAAAGTGTATGTCAGTTAACATAACATCATTTGTACAAGACATCTCAATGTGTATGTCAGTTAACATAACATCATTTGTACAAGACATCTCAAAGTGTATGTCAGTTAACATAACATCATTTGTACAAGACATCTCAAAGTGTATGTCAGTTTACATAACATCATTTGTACAAGACTTCTCAAAGTGTATGTCAGTTAACATAACATCATGTGTACAAGACATCTCAATGTGTATGTCAGTTAACATAACATCATGTGTACAAGACATCTCAAAGTGTATGTCAGTTAACATAACATCATGTGTACAAGACATCTCAAAGTGTATGTCAGTTTAACATAACATCTCAAATTTGTATTTGTACAAGACATCTCAAAGTGTATGTCAGTTAACATAACATCATTTGTACAAGACATCTCAAAGTGTATGTCAGTTAACATAACATTATGTGTACAACACATCTCAAAGTGTATGTCAGTTAACATTACATCATGTGTACAAGACATCTCAAAGTGTATGTCAGTTAACATAACATCATGTGTACAAGACATCTCAAAGTGTATGTCAGTTAACATAACATCATTTGTAAGACATCTTCTCAAGTGTATGTCAGTTAACATAACATCATTTGTACAAGACATCTCAAAGTGTATGTCAGTTAACATAACATCATTTGTACAAGAGATCTCAATGTGTATGTCAGTTAACATAACATCATTTGTACAAGACATCTCAAAGTGTATGTCAGTTAACATAACATCATTTGTACAAGACATCTCAAAGTGTATGTCAGTTAACATAACATCATGTGTACAAGACATCTCAAAGTGTATGTCAGTTAACATAACATCATGTGTACAAGACATCTCAAAGTGTATGTCAGTTAACATAACATCATTTGTACAAGACATCAAAGATAAACATGCGAAACATGATGTACTGCTTAAAGCATAATATCATCAACATGTGGCAGCTCCTTTGCACAATGTCGCTCCCATTATGGCCGCCCTAAAGAAGCGCTGTCCCTCTCCATCTCTCCTGCCTCATGCTGTACATCACTTTGTCCAGCTGTTGGGGCGTCATCATCACTCAACAGGTCCTGTACAGAACGTCGCTCCCATCACAGCCCTCCTATAAGATACTTTTCCTAGACCAAAGTTGTTCCTATAACCACCTTTGTACTGATGGATCCCTGCCTCACTATCACGGGACCTTGCTCGCGGGACTGTGTCAAGCTCTTGGGACGTCCAACTCATCATAATCATCACTCAGCAGGTACTGCATACAACGTCGCTCCCATCACGGCCCGCATGAAAGTCTCCCTTTCTCTAGCCCATTCTCCAGCCTTATGAGCTTTCTTTGCCGAAGCATCTTTAGTTTCCTGTTGGCTTCCTTCGCAGAGGTTCTGCCTGTGCCTCGTTGGCCGGAAGCTGTACTTCCCCCCATCCCTCCCATAACCAGTATGTCCAGCCCACTATAACGTTGAACACCGCCCCAGTACCTCAGCTCTCTGGACGGTGTACCATAGTCACATCTGTTGTGTTTCCAAGATATAATTGTACAATCACAATTACAGTGTTTCACATTGTCTACATGGGCTCGCGCTGACTGGCATTGTGTATCTGATCACAGCTTGCAAGTCTGGACTCTACGGTGTTCTCTGTAAGTTACAGTGTCCTCAGTTCTGCAGCTGGGACCCCACGGGTACACCCAGCTGTGACCACGTGACTGGGTTATGTGTGGGTGGGTGCCAGCCTGGATACACAGGAGAGATGTGTAACACACGTAAGTACAGTCAACCTATGTCATGAATAGTTAGCGTATAGTCAACATATAGTCCTGTAGCATCAGCGTATAGTCAACATACATTCATGTAGCGTCCACGTATATACAACATACAGTCCTGTATAGTCAACGTTTAGTCATGTAGAATCAAACTATAGTGAAGTTAAAGTTGAGAGAATCGACTTCCTTGCCTCAGTTGTTGATCCTATAGGGCTTGATCTCTCTCAGCGGAAGTACTAGATGCCTGCCGCGAGAGCCGTTTAACGCACAAACTTCGTAGCTCCAGCGAGGATTTTCAGGAATCTACTCAAAAATTGGACCCGTGAACTGAACGGCGACGCAGTAAAACGATCCCACGACCTTTAGAACACGAGACAAACGGCTTGACCACTTCGTCACGGAGACCTACAAAAGTCTGTTTCAGTCAGACCTGAATCTGCGACATTCCTATCTGCAGGCGAGCGACTGGTTACTACACCACTGCAATCAGTCAATATATAGTCAACATAAAGTCAACGTTTAGTTAACATATAGTCAACGTTTAGTCATGTAGAGTTAACATATGTCATGTATTCCTCTGTGTGCTACTTTGCTTACCTCGATGGGAATTGGCATACATACACACAGAGACTGGTCTGGTCTGTTCGCATTATAGCAAGTCTGCTTCTCAATACCACAATCATCAACGACGAAATGAACGTTGCGGATAGAAAGCCTTCATCATGAATAATCATAAACTTACAAACAGCAAAACATATATTCACTTACATGGAAGCTAAGAGCGATTTGCATCCAAGTGAAGGCTTTAAAGTTGGTAAAACAACATCAATAGACATAATGCAAACGATCAGACTGTGACGAACTACCTCACTGCACCCGGTTTTATCCCACATGGCTCCGTTTCTCTTACAGAACGGGTAGCCTCCTGCCGAGAAATTCACACAAAGCACGAGCACCGTATCTTAGCCAGCGGAGTGAGGAGATTAGAGAATCAACCCACGAGTGACACAGTCGCTGTACCGTGATGGATTTATTTTATAACAAGATAGGAACAGCTTTTGAACTGTCTGTAGCACAAGCTACTGAAGAGATACCTCATTAGGTTTGAATTTATAGTGATTACCTTGGTATGTAGATATGTGTGGCAGATGTAGAAGTAGATAAGTAAATGACCCTTACCCTTTTTGTCCGCCTATTGGGCATTCAGGTGTGTTGTAGGATCAATTAGGGCTGTTCCCTATATGTACCTTATAGATTAGATTCAGCGCCTCGGTTGCAAGGACAGTTTTGTAAAACATCCGCCCCGGGCTTGCATTTTTACTATTTTCCCAGGGCACTTTGTGTGTGTTCATGAGTGTATATGTGTACACATGCAACTGTATATGTGTGTTTGTGTGTGTGTGTGCGTGTATCTAGAGGAAAAATAACAGGCAATCGTGTATGAATAATGTTGTTAATTCGCTCCATTGACTGTCAAAACAAATAAAGCAATGTTTGCTTGTTCAGTCTGCCAGCCAGGCATGTACGGACCGGACTGCTCCTGTGTGTGTTCCGAGCTGTGTGCAGTCAACAGTGACGGAAATCACCAGTGCCACCACATCACTGGAGCCTGCCTCCGTGGATGTCAGAGAGGCTACACCGGAGCCTGGTGCAACAACAGTAGGTACACCTGTAGCCAGCGTCTGCTCATCTGTTGTTGCTTGTGTATTTACAGGATTTACAACCTTTTCTTCAAGAAAAAGAAAAATTTAGCAAATTACCCCCAGCTAACACCCGAAGGGGTGGACACTCACAAGTATCAGTTTTAAAGCGATATCCCCTCCCCCACCACTTTTGTAGACCAATCGGCACTGGATAGATGATATAGCAGTGTTTCTCAACCTGTTTCACACGCATGGCCCCACCAAGACAGGCAACAGTGTTTAGCGAAGCCACCCTGCAGCTAAGCAAACACAGAAACAAACACAAATGTAAACAGCAGTAATTTATGAAACCCGATGTCACAAACTTGCGGTTGTCAGCTAATGCGTCACCTGGTGCTGCTTAGAGGTTAGACAAACGGGTGTGTTTGACTGGAGCGCTGCAATAACATCCATCGATTTCTCTGTTTAGTTTTAATTACTGGCATGGCTGCGAAAGTCTTTTCATACACATCGGAAGTGGGAAAAAAAAAAACGACAAACATTCTGATAGCTTTGTAAATACGAGATGATATTCTTTTCTCCAAAACTCTGACAATGATTGTATTTTGTCTGGACATAAGAGTGACATGGGAAGACAACTCGATGAGCTTTTTTTCCTCGTGATAATCAAGTGCGCATGATCTTATATCCTCCAAAAAAGGATTATTAATCCAAAGGTTGCTTGTACGAGGATCGTTATTTTCAGAGAAATAATTATCAACTATTTCTAGCTCATGCCTTCCAATGCTGACTTGTATTATGTTGAATTTCACTTTCTAGTTGAAATCGGCAAAAAATAAAAAAAAATAAAAAATTTGTTTTAAGGTGGAAACATTTCTATATTTTTCTCTTGCACGCGATTATACTAGAGAGCAAACGTCTTTTTGAACGCATCTGTTTGATTTCTATAAGCTTACAAACATTTATACAAGTCATCTGAAAGAGAGATACGTTCAGTTTATTAGGGAGGGTAAATGTGTCCGCAGATAAGTCAGTCGCTAAAATGAACCTGACATGTGAAGACAAACTATGTGTTCCGCTTTGTCAACAGCCTGTGAGGATGGTAGCCATGGAGACAGATGTAGCCTTCCGTGTCCCGAGTTTTGTGACGTCAGCGACATCGATGTCCCCGCCTGCCACCACATCGACGGCACCTGCAGCCAAGGATGCCAGGATGGCTACCAGGGGCCAACCTGTAATAAATGTGAGTTTTTCATCTTGCTTTCAATAGATAGCTATTTCTGTTTATTTTCACTAGGACTAAGCTATTGTAAGATATATTATTGGGAAGAGTTCACTGCCTAAATGTTGATATATATTCACACCCTGTGTGAGTTCCTGGGTCCCGCTGGAGGGAAACAAGAATTGACCCACTGCTTCCCCAACTAACATCTCGTATGGGGCTTCCTTCGAAGTCAGAATGCATCTCACTGGAAGGCAAATAACCAGTAGCCCGCATGTAGATAAGTCGGATCTGTGAAAACAGATGTGTACGCAGCACTCAGGTTCTGGAAAAAGACTAGTGTCTAGGGAGTGGACGAACAACTAGAACTTTCCACCGGAGTTTACAACCGGTGAACGCCAAGAAGAAGAAGAACAAAATATGTTCACTAACCGACTGTTTAGTGCTGCCCTGATAACGGTGGAAGGAAGAGACAGCCAGGAAGCTGAATATATAATAACTTTTAATAGATGCTACAGAGGCAGTGGATCTGTTTTTCTTTTGTCCCACAATGGGCCTCCGGAACCCACACGGGCCGCAGAAGCCACATTGGCCCCAGAACCCACACGGACCCAGAACCCACACCAGGAGACGAAGAAAACTGACTGTCCACATTCAAGGGAGACAATCTACATTCTTTTGTTATGCTGGGGGAAAGCGACATGACGTATTGTTTTCAACAGGAACGTTGCTGGGTGGCAAAAAGGGTTAAGGTTGGGGCAGGGAAGGGAAGGGGGTAATCATAAATGATTACAAAAGACAGGAGGCTGTCAACAGACAAGGCTTATCTAGACTACAGGGCATGAACTGTGAGAAATCGGTTAAACAGATTTAATAGTCTACTAATCAAAACAAGTGAAAATAATATATAACATTTTATTAACATGCTTCTTTCTTACGGTAATCTGCAAATGTGTTTTGTGCAATTCTAGAATCAATGAACCAGAAAATATGACCCCCCTCCCTTCCCTACCCACACCTACATGTAATAGAATAATTGGTAAAATACTGCGGTTTCAGTAAGGTCTGACATTCTGCAATCAAATCTATGACAGTGTCAGTAATACTAATGACGATTTCAAAATGAAACTGTAGAATAGTCTTTCACGGCACTCTTCCGAATACCGGCCCCATATTATTCAAAGACAAAAAATCCCATTCAGGGCCTCAAGAGGTCGTTGTTAGGGACCTAAGAGGTCAGGTTGTAAAATATGGAAACAGGAAATGGCTT